ATATGTTGCTTATTATTTTCTATTGTTGGTTCACAATTTAACGAAATTCTAATAAATGTGCTCACCTGCTACTCACGTGTGCTCAAAAAGGGTGCGTTTTTGACCCTATGTGGCAAAAAAGACTCCAAAAAATTGTCCAGTTGAGCTGGTAAGTTAACTTTTTCCACCATACAGTGCAGACCCTACTCTAACTAACTGTATACTTCTTTTGTCCAGGCCTAACTTTTTAGCAAGTGAGAGGGATGATTTGTCAGATGATGTCAAAACCGACCTACCTCTCTTTTTCGACTCAAAAAATTCCTAGCTTTAATCGTACGAGGTTTCCACTCATACTGGTAAATGGGAAAGTGCTTTGTAAAGTTGAGTGCAATGAGTCATTCGATGAATATGCTGTTTCACTCCCCGGATTCTGAATTAAAATATTGGTGGTCCGAAACTCGTGGTGAAAAAACGACACTAAGATATCCGGTACCTAATATTATAATATATTTTAGCTGACGGGAGTACGTGATGAAGGTGGGGTAGGATATGGTTCTTTTTTGCCAAATTGACCCTTTCATTCACATTCCTTTTATAATCTTTCATTCATGAAGTAATGTTTCATCATCCCTTATGGCCGCTTCGCTTTCTAGAGCAAGATCCAGGATGCGATGGAGGAACTCCGCCTCATGCTCATTTGTGGTTTTCGATATGTGTTTTCGTATTTCCCAATCTATTAATAAATCTCGAGTAATTTATCCTAATTAGTTGTCAGTTTGTAGAGAACATGGTGACATTACAGAAGGTAAAGCAATTAAAATGCTGCAGCGCAATGCCACGCATCCAATTTCAACTAAGAACCGTAGCGACATTTGAGCGCGATTTGACTTATGCAGTAGCTTGCCGTCTGGCCGATGAGTCCATGTTTTCATGCTCCCAGACAAGTTTTGGTAACAATACTGAACCTAGATGAACAAAAAGTTTGGTCGAACCCTACGGCCTACGATTCAGGTTCGTGCCCTGTACGCACGTGGAGTCTTGATTGCAGTTTCTCTAATATGGTACAATATGATAAATTCCGGTAAAGGGCTGGACCGAACCAAAAAATCTCTCGTACGGGTGGAGCTCAGAATCCTACAGTATGATCGTAATTCCGAGGATTTTCAGCAGGTTTTTCTTATGGTTTTTCACTTGTGAACCAATCCTCACAAACATGCATCCACTTTTGGACCCGATAACCTACATGTTCTCACTCGTGGCGTGTGCCTTCAACTCAAGAAGGCATTCACACCTCAGCCTGAAAACCTGATTTTAGCAGTGAACGAACGATAGTGGGATGAAGAACCTTGCTGTGCAACACGTTTTCTTCCTAAAGTCAACACGGATGTCTCGCTTCAGTCGATAAATCCTGTACCGCTAGCCGTTACAATCTACTGCTTCTTGCCAACATTTAATGTGTTTGATGAATCCGGTCGTGGAAAGTAGTGGTGTTCCAGAGGCGAAGAACTCGGCAAAGGTCGTTCCACCATCATTTTAGATTTCGTAGCATTTCTCTTTTAGGGTGCTATCCAGGTGGGTGAAAAAGTGGCATTGAATAGGTTAAGAGGTCTGGTGAGTAAGACGTTTGGGGCATGGTTCAGTACCCCAGTCAGTTCTTTTTTTCGCAAGGTCCGTTCTGCGATCAGCGGCTGAGTTGCATCGCGGAGAAGAGTCAGCCTATTTATGAAAGCCCTTGCTGAGCGCGTGTGTCATGGTTTCGGAGTTTTTGGCACCCTGCGAAAAGTACTGTTCTGCTGTAATAGCCACGCCTGTGCTCGAAGAGGTGCGCCTGCTGTAGACCGCGTAAGGCAGCACAACCTTCTCCTCGTGCAGTTTCACCTTTGCAAAGTTTTGTTGACCCTAGTCTTGATCGAACTACTCAGCCGAAGACATATTATTGAGAAGAATCATTCTACATTGCATCTCACAACACGGACGAAAATGGGTTGTTTTTTCGGATGAAAGATGGTAGAAGGACGGCACGCGGTTCTACGGGACCGCGATTTTTGCGCCACCCCCATTATCAACTTTACCGGTCTTCTCGACATATCCCAATTGACTTGGAATCACAAATAATCGCTGCCTAGCTCGGTAGTGGTCTTGTCAATACTTCTAGCACATTTGTTTTTGTTAAATCTTTTGGTTGATTTTATTCAACGTCCTACATATCTAACCGACCACGTTCGTCGCATCTCACAATTCCTTTCTGCTCAAGACTCGAGTCACAGAAGCGAAAAACTCAGGCGGCATTCACTGCATGCAGTATGTTTATCCAGAATATTTAAAAAGTATTGTAGTGCTGTGATTATTTTGGAGCCAGAGAATTACTTTTCTCATAATCACGCACTATGTCAAGAATATCAACAGTTTAGAGTACAGAAATAATGGCCGTTAAAACATTGGGAATGCAAGAACTGAATCCTTCTAACCTGATATTTGGCTTTACTGCGACGTTATACGTCCGAAGAACCGCATAGCAGATTAGAAAGGTAGATATCCCTCCGAAAGCACATCTAGGGAAATACATGCTTTTTTGAGCGGCCATTATGATCTCGGATCCTTTCTTTGTTGGAATTACTCCAGAAAGCTGTTCAAATTTACAAACCCTTTCCCAGCTCCATAGCCCTTCAGTTGCACCACTCTGAACTGATCAGCTGTGGTGGCTTCATATAAACAAACTCATCACACAGTTGCTTTAGGCAGCCTTTCCTCTCAACCTCTATTTTTATCCTTCTGATTTAAGACTCCTGATTGCACGAAGTCGATCAATTATGCAGTCTGCTCCATTGAGAACGAAAGGTTTACTGATTGTCAGAGTATTCTGGACAATACCTCAGCCGAAAAATCAAGTGCGCCAAGTTTCTCATAGAACCCAGCAGTATACGTCATAAAGAGAAGGTGATAGGAAGGCATTGGAGTTTTGCTTGAGATGTCAAGAAAACTCTTTCTGCTTCATGTCGATGCACACGTGCACTGGTGGCGAAGGTTTGCAGCATCTCGTGTGTCACACAGGCTGTCGCAGCAGAATGAACCTGGATATGCGCTGCACTCGCAAGTGCTTCCTTGCTGCCAAACAACTTCGTTCGACGAAAGCTTTCTGAAATGGTGAACTCTAATCGATCGTTTTCTATACAGTTATACTAACAAATAAAACTATGAGATCAAGGGAATGGTAAGAACTACTCCACCATGACCCGATGTTTTAGAGATCAAACAATATTGATAGATGTATAAGGGTTATTGCAGGATGTCGAATTTGGGACTGATGGGAAGGGTTCGTTTTGGTGTTGGCCTCTGACAAGAGAAGGACAATAAATCGGACAGCCATTCAAATTACATGTTTTCCTTAATAGCAAACCCCGGGAATAGCCCGACTAGTAGGAGGGATACCGCGAGGGAAAGTTGTAGTGTCTGTACCTAGAGAAAGCGTGCCACGCTCATAGCACAAAATGCGCGGTTAGGGCGGTAATCGTTAAGCGGCTGCAACAGTCGACCCCCGCTGCAACCTTCTCCATTCCCGTGGCTGATGTAGAGATCAATGTGCTCTCTTGGGAGGTGTGCTTTCGCTGCTTTGTCCTCTCTGATAACCTTGTCTGGCCGTCCTACCACATGCGACCTTACTGAAGGTCAAGGCCCTTTCAGCTCTTGCGATGATTTCTCTTGTTTTCTTTCCCACATTCAGTTCATTCTGTGGCTCATTCATCATTGTGAAGTGCTCTTATACCCCAGTTTTATCCCAGGTTTTGCCTTCAAAACAACAGTTCCAGCAGCTGCCTTCGTTACTAACGGTGGGGAATGATGGCTAGCCCTTGTCAAGGACACGAGAAGTTCACTAAAGAGATAATTCACTTAAAAAGCAGCTAGAAGGAACGTGAAAATTCATGAAGTGGGCTTCACCGAAAACCTTTGGTAGCCCCCTCATGCCAGCCGTGTATTCCACGTGCTTGGCTTGGGTTGCATTCGGCCTGCGCGATTGCCTGTAGACTGTTCCGGGTTTCAAAATAATGCTGCCTCTTTGTGATGGGTTCGACTTGCTTAACTCATTCAATTATCGCATTTCTTTGTTTGTGCTGATCTACGTCTCTAATTGTATTGGTGCATATGCGATTTTAGCCGCATTTCTTGCTGCACGAGCCAGCAATAAATGCCGGCGGAGCAAGCTAGTTTGGGCAGCTCTTCCAGCCGCCCCATCCTTCATTTTAAGAGGAAACAGAAGTATTCCTTGTTTGAAGCTTCGTTTGCGGTTTTCGTTGCTTATATGAAGTCAAACCGGCCTCTACAATACCACAATTGATCGGTTTTACCCCGCAAATTAGATCTGTAATTGTTGTTCTGAGAAATCCCTCCCGGAGAATTCTTGCGTTCTTTCCCACCGCGACTATGTCAGTCGCGATCAATAGGGACAACGAACGGATTCCGCAAGAAGATTAAGCTTCCATAGAGAAACAAACTTACGGAAACAAACAATACGGACGGTCGAGGGGAAGATCAGGCAGAAATGGGGGGACGCACTGAAAGAAGTGCACCCTACAGTTAGGGTGCGACTTCTTTTCATATTGCGTTTGATCTATTTGAAGTGATGAAATTTCTAAAACAGTTTCTTTGCCAATAGCTACCAAAGCTGAAGCAGCATTTGTATTGGCTGTGAACACTAACAAAAACACTGACTAAATTTAAAAAATGAAAGGGAAAATTTTAAACAGCGGTATGCTGTGAGGTTGCAGTTGGCGAGTTGCGTGACAGCTTAGACTGCACACTAACAACGCCACATTTCTATCAGAAATTAATAGCTTACGGGCTTCCATACACACAGGACACAACCATGTTTTGCATGGCGGGGCAGATCTTGTAGGCACATCCAACTTTTCGGTTTCTATAGTTTGCAATCTGGAAATGGATGAAGTTGCTCTATATCCCCGAGTTTTGAGACAATTAGAAAACTTACGTTTGCTAGAGGTTCAGCCCACTGGTTAGCAAATTGGTCAAGTTTCGTGCCCTTCATAAATCCCAGCGATGCGCTCACCCAAGACCACGATACTTGACTCAGTAACTTTCTCTTCTTCACTGTTTTTGTAGTACAGCCTAATTGATTTCATTATACTAAGAATATGAAGGTCAAATTTGAGTCAAATTTGAGAACCATTGAGCAATATTTGAAGCCAGGTTGGGATCTACTGGTAGAGGTACCGTGCATGCAAGCTGCTTAGCTGCTTTTTGTTCCAACTCGCAGTCCCAGTCCTGAAAAAGAATCAATCCCATGTACACACTAGAAAACGGGTGCAACTACCCGTCGATAGTGCCAGCATTGTGCTTACCCGAGTTTTGCTTTGGGTCACTATATAAGGCATGCTAAAGAAAATCAAAAGGAACATCATCGACAGTCAAAGAGAAATGGAAAATTCGAAAGACTTCAGCTCTGCTTTTGGTTCTGGGTATAGAGCGAGATTCTTGGTACTGCACACACGTCGATTCTCACGTCTACTTCTCAGCCAGCGCGGGCTGGGGGCTTGTGGTCTGCCGATACTGCCATCGCCGTACATGTTCATTCTGAAAAGGCAATTCGTGCTGAACGGCCATATTTAGGCGTTGTCCTTGGCAATGCATTACTATTGAAAGGATCGTGTTCACTGGCATGATAACGGCTATCGGAATTAATAATACCTACAAGCGAGCTCGTCCTTGGTCGCTGGCTTGTCCAAAGCGAAAATCAAAGAGATTCGCAACGCCCCATTACGCGAGCTCGAGCCATTTTCTCGCGGATTTTCTTGACTACTGCACACCCTTCGTCTCACGTCTACTTTCAGCTCCTCGATACAATGGTTTTCTCGTTCCCGCCTTTAAATGATGGATATGTAAATGTTCAATTGGGTTATGTTCATAGCAGTTGTTCAACAAATATTTGAACTTCATTTCACGGTTTTCGGTTTTGTTCAAAAGACGAAGGTGTGAGGTCTATTTAGGTGATCCTGCTTTTGAAAAGGAATGAATAATGACGCACCACTTTGTACATGTTCTGAGCTGGACCAAGAATGACCGCGTCTGCTTCTACTGTCCAGTTTAACAAACCCTTTCCAAGTGCTATATTTCGACGAACATCATTGTGAAAATCGAGGAAAATCTGCCTCGCGCTGTCACTTTGGCTTAGACTATTCGGCAACAAAAGCCTGAAACATGTTATACATTTCGCCAAGAGATGATCCAGCTGCTTTTAGGACTGCTAGTAGCATTATGAGGATCACGAATGAATAATTAGCTCGATGTGCTGCCGCCTTCTGTAGCGGCCGTTCGGAGAATTTCGGGATCTGTTAGTCACGAACCTGCTTCGGCATAGGAGAACAGGGCCTAAAAATAAACCTTCAGCAAATGAAGTGCTTGCTTGAAGGCATTGTATTAGTTGGCTGGGAGGCGGGGAGGTTTCATTGGACGTCATCGGTGGACGAACGTGAAGTAGTTGGTATACCACACCACACCCTCGGGACGCCGAGGGGTCTGGTTCGCCAATGGCGTCCATTGACGTCATCAAAACCGCTCCGCCCTCCAGTCATCTGCTTTTACTGTTGCGGCTCGATAGTTCTGCAAGACGCCTTTTAATATACCTCTGATCAAATTTAGACTTACCAGGAGAACAGCAACTACAACAGCCGCCGACATAGCAGTTCTCGACTTTGGATGGCTATCGAAATCCGCTCATGCTTTTATATGAACTGAAGCACCTTTTTCGAGCGCTTGGCGATCCCATGGTTTCACTTAGCTTGGCTATGATATTATGCTATTCATATTATTCAGCTGATCAATAAATCAACCCTTTTCTGGGTTCTCGGCCAATTTTATCTTCACATTCAAAAAAGGATTATTTCCAACATCTGACACAGGACACGATTTGATGAAAGAGCCTCTGTGGTTGAAGAATAGCGAGGAAAAGTTATGGCATTTACGGATGTTTAACATTGAACTCTCGTTTTGTGAACCGATGGCACAATGATCCGCGCAAAAGGACTTCGGGAAAGGACTAAATATTCGTTCATTTTCTGCTTGACGTAAAGTCTTGGTCGTGGTTAGATACCTAGACAATTTTTCCTTGATCGATGTAGCAACTCCTACGCACAAAGGTGGAAGTTCGTGAAAGTGAGCGGCAAAGGAACTAGCGCCTCCGTTTGAACGCTCCAACCGCTGCAAGTCCTATCCAAGGCGTCTGCGCACTTTCACGTACAACGTGCTCTTTCGCGTTTCCCCTTCTCGAAGAGTGTGTTACTCTATCGTACCAATGTTGTCTTCATTAAAATTAGTGTTTTCTATGATCCTTTGGCTTTTCTCCTGCTAACGTTCCTGTTCACAGTTCTTGTTTGAGTTATCAAACAAAGCAATAGCCCAATTCGAGCGTGAAACGTGCCTTCAAAGCAACAACCCCAGTCGTATCGAAGAATTGGTTCTGCGGATGGGATGAGTGACCCACGAGTATCAAAAATAGGCTGTTGTCGCGCCACGAAGTGCGCGACAGTAGCGCTAGGGATTTACGAGGGGCGTAGCGGCTCAGATACGCGCGGTTGTGGAGCCGTGAAGCGAAGCAATATAGCTTTCTTGTAGCTCGTCCTGCCCCACTCTTTCCTCATTCCAAGGAGAAGAAGAGGAACTTTTCAATGGCTTCATCAGCGGTTTTTTGCCTCTTTTTCATTTTCAGTCAGCTCGCCACTCGCACCACTATTGTCGCTCGCTATGACCCCACAAATTTGATCGCAGGTGGGGTCGGAGAGGGGGGAATCGTGTTTTAAGCGGTCTTTC